TGCCAAAATGTTCAGAAACCTTCAGAACGTAGAGAAATGCAAAAATTTTCATTTTCGATTTTCGGCCCATTACTATAACTACCCTACGAGAAGTTAAAAAATAAATTAACTTAGAATTAGAAAAAGCTATATAACAATAGATAAATCAAATAAATAGTTATTACAACTCTGTTGACGAATGTTTCTGCTAAATATCAGATTAAGATTATATACGGTGTTTTTTTTTTCAAAAATTAATAATAAGACATTGGAATGGCTGTCTCAATTTACTCCGACTATGGGGTAAACAGGACCAGGTTACAAATTTTTGAAAAACAGCAGAAAAACCACAATTCTAAAATGATGAATTAGCTGGGATTTTCACTGAACATAGTCAGATATTTGTTTGTTTGATACGTGTTATTTGTTGTTATATAATTGGTTTAGTTTTCACAATATAATTGTTACATACACACACGCACGCACACACACACACACACACACACACACACACATATATATATATATATATATATATATATATATATAAGGTAAAAATGGAGAGATTAATGTATTAATTTTTTTTCGACTCATTTTTAATAACGAATGAATTGTTTTCTTCTAATTAGAGATAGATATGAAAAATATCATCAAAATAGTCAAAATAAAATGTTAAAAAAATAGTCCTTTATTTGATACATTGATATGAATGGAACACAGCAAACCAACTCAGTGATAGACCTGCGAAACTAATCAAGACTAACTGTATGAATTAACATGTTTACCTCTCAAGTTTAAATTGATGTCAGTTCTGGTGTTTAGATTTGAATTGGAATTGACGTGAATTTTCATGTTTACACTCGATGTACGATTACTGCGCGGTCCCAAAACAACAAACCAAACCTCATTCGGGGCTGCGAACGGCTCACTTTAGTTTAACGCGAGGACGTGAAATCATCCACAACTTAATTCTCTCGCAATATAAGTCTCTACTCGTTTTATAAAACTGCGTCGTTTGTTTATGTCCCTTGCTAGTTCTTTGTCGCGCTAACTGAGAGACGCAGTTTAAAAGTGCTCTACATTTTACGGCCCTCGACGGCGTATGGAGCAGGGAATGTTATTAACTGCGGAGCGGGCGAATAAAAACAGCAGACTACGTCATGTTTACGGCCGTGTTTAGTGCAGATACAACGACTTTTTAGTAATCTCATTGTTGGAGACAGAAAACCAGCGATCGCAAGACTTACGTCAGTTTGGAAGTAACGTGTACAATTTTATATTGGAAAAGTCAATATTGCCGGTTTGGTTATTTTTGAATTGGTTCTTTGTCTCAAATACAATTAGGATTGCCTTTCCAGAGTGATGATTTTGATGATCAACCTGTCAGCAGTTCATTTATATTAACTGTTTTATTATTAATATGTATATTACAATTTAATTTTTATAGTCGATGCAATACCTTAATTTTTATGAAGTACAATAGTTAAATCGACTAGAAAAGAATTTGGTGATTTAAGAGTATTCAAGATATAAATTAGAATTGGGAAATCGGCATATGACCGCAAATTTTAGTAAGAAAAATTGAGATTGCCGAAACCAATAATTCCGATTCTGTCGTACAATAATCCAATGTGTTATGGCAAGGCTATGTTACATTCAGTTTTCATACAAAATGCTACTAAATACTGTCAAAATGCCATATGTTTGTTATACGGCCAGGCGTTTTACACATAAAATGCGACTTTACTCATATGCTATCAAGCCATATCTTGAAGATTCGGTTATGATAACATCGTTTTTTTGACATTTGTGCGTTTTCTAGGTTAGATTTTCTATCTAAATAGCAACCAAATAGGATTTTGACAGTTTTTAATACCACCTTAGGGATTGTTCAAGTATTACGTAAGCAGATTTAGTACAATTATTTACCCCCTCGCCCTCCCCCTTTGTCAGCAAAAGTAAGCAAAGCTAACACCAAAATGTCACATAAATAAGCAAATCAATAATTCCCCCGCCCCCTTATAGTGCTTACGTAATACTTGAACGGCCTCTTATATGGCAAAACATTGCTATAACATTGGTCTATCTTACGGCAGAATCGGCCCCTAAGTATTTGATTATGATTTGCGATGACATATTTTTTGTTTAAGTTCTTCACGCTCTAATGTTACTTCTTGGAATGTTATTCTTTTAATTTTTTACTAAATTTGCTTTCCAAGATATAAAATTTATGTATATTTTCATTGTTAAATGAATAAAATCGATGTTTTATTTTTGAAGTCTATATAAAATACATTTCACTTTATAATTACATCGACTATGAATGTAGTGACGTGAAGAGAACATATTTCAGAAACTTAGGCTGTTAATGTGTAAAAAAGTAAAAATTTTGTTCAAATATTCAATAAAATAATTAAAAATTATATATATATATATATATATATATTTATATATATATACTTATATATTAAGTGAAAATAAACTGGCGACTATCTCAAGCGTTTACCCGCATTCATATTGAAATATATTTTACTCACTGTTACACATATACTATAAACCGCGTATGGAATGTTTTATCTCTGGCATTATTTTTCATTTGATATCTGCCACAAGCACCCTCACCGAACACAAAAGTTATCACTCACTATAAAAAATAATCCTTATAAATGACGCAGGTCTAACGGTCGCTGGCGCTCCATCTAGTAGTCTGTCACTATTTTGCTATTAGGTTGTAAGACTCCGATCGAGTTTTTCTTATATTCGTTTAACATACATTGTATTTACATAATCCAGATGCGCAGATAATAACAACATATCCAGGTTAATTGAAATATATTTTAGTGTCACGTTTATAAAACTCCATTATATGTAAAATTCAACATGGACAGCGATGCGAGTTGCATGGTTTTCTGAGCGGGAACAAAGAAAAAATATCCAGCCGCTATAGTACGAATATTATTCTGAAACCAAGGATATTTAAAAAAAATATTATTTTATGCACAGCATTTTAAGTTGAAGAAAAACGAGTCGTAATAAAGAGAACGGAATTTTTAATTACATGAAAATAAAATAGCGCATTCAACGCGGTGTACCATTGTAAGGGATTTGAATAATTAACATGGCTAAGAAAACTTTAGGAGATGCATATATATATATATATATATATATATATATATATATATATGAGTGTGTTCTTGAGGGCGATACATCAAACAAAGAAAAGCCAAAGATTTATAAAATAATCTTTATTTCAGAAATAAAGATTATTTTATAAATCTTTGGCTTTTCTTTGTTTGATGTATCGCCCTCAAGAACTCACTCATATATTTCAACATCAAAATTAACTACTAAATCATATATATATATATATATATATATATATATATATATATATAGGAGCTAAACTGACAGGGGTAACTAGTAACATACGTTTTTTAATAGGATCTCAAACTATATTAAAATATTTTTTTTATCGATTGTATATGCAAACCGCCCTGAATAATAATGAAATAGCTACTGTCCCGCAGGCCAACGCAATTAACAAAACTGTGCAGGCCCGTCGTTTTTGACACATATTATGTGTTTTAATCATAAATTTATTTAGAACAATTAAAATTGACCTAAAATTCATGCCTCTATACTAGAACACATCCCTTAAATAAACAAAGAGAGCGATTGTTAAAAAAATATCCTACTTATTGATTTTAGCTATCGTTTAAAACTTCTATATTTTCTATTTAAATTGATAAGACTATGCGTGTAGCTCGTTAATATTGTTTTTGAACATTCCTTTATAATATTTTATAATGATTAAGTAATGCATTTTTGTCTCTAAATCAAATCAAATGACTTTAGTTGAAACCAATATATATATATATATATATATATATATATATATATATTACGATACGATCGCTATTGTATATATAATTTTGCTCAATATGCAGTTTGCAGTATATGCAAAGTTTCTGTAATTATATCAAATCAATTTAAATTGGAAACAGAGCGCACTGTTAAATTGAATTCTTAGTTTGGTTTAAGTATTTCCGAATAAGATGTAGGTTAAATCTTTAACTATGAGCTAATTAGCATAAAATTAGAGCAAGCGACGTTGTAATTTAAATTAGAAAATCGCTTCGTTAAACTTTCGCGACGGTGCAACTTTAGTTTGAGAAAAGGCTAAATTAGTAATTTCGTAAGAAAATATACATAGCCTTATTAGAATACAATGGGTAGCGTGCAAATAACTTAAGAAGCTGTAAGATAATTGAATTATTTAAGAGATTTTGATATACTTACATATACGAATAATAAAAGACACAGAAGGAGGAACTAATTTTAGAACAATTAATTTAATAACAATCACTATTCTTTCACAAACAAAAAATCTACTAACAATTCTTATAAGACAGTTTGTTCTGAGGAAGGACGGATTAGTGTTTTATCAAAATATTGCGGATGTTATTTTTGTTAGTTTTTATTATAAAATTATAGTTACCATGATTTTGCAAAACTTTGGTAATTATACTAGTACTTATATTATATTTAATGTTATAAATTATATTGAACTAGTACTTATATTTGATGTTAATAAAGTAAACTTTCATCGAACATCAGGAATTATCAAAACTAACAGGTTTTACATTCGTACAATTTTCTATTTTGCAATCTGTTCCTTATGAGTCCGCGACATGCATCAAACCTAAATATCAATCAATAGGCTTCTACGTATATGAAGAAACCGATTTTTTTTTATATTGTTCTACAGCAATCAGAACTCTTACTAGAAACCGAATATACTAATATTTGGTATTTTGTATGTCGTGTAAAATTATCACAGGAATCATTATATAAAAATTGTTTTATTATTTTCTTTGTCCAATCAACGCAATGCAACTCGCAACGCATCCATTTTTCATTTCCTGGGTAGTGTTTGGAATTTTGTCAACTTTAGTAGGGTTAGTAAATTAATAGTTTTTTTATAAGTAAATATTTAAACCCATTTTTTCTCTGAAACTCACCTCCATAATTCGGTCTTACTCTTTTGTCGTAGCTGACGCTGAAGTTATCCAAGATGGCAGAAATGTTGACGTCGCCGTACATACTGCCGCCCCCCGTCCTGTAAACGAAAAAATTGATTGACGTTATTATTTTGAACTTAATTCAATATTTTACATTAGCTTTCAAAATTATAAATGATTCTAAATACACCACTGAAATGCTTTTGCGTTCAAACTTTTTAAGTTCGGAAAGTGGTTTTATGTACAATGCTTAATTTTATAAGATATAGGGGAGATTGGGTACGGTTGTGTCAGGTTACAATAGTGACAATCGTCATAACAGCTAAACTATTCTGATTTTGAGATAGAGTCCAGAAGGAAAAAAGTGAAGTATGTTTTTCCGAACAAGTTTCCCATTATTACCGAATTGCTTTTTAAGAACCAAAAGTAAGTTTGTTGGATTTTTTTTAATAATAACTGTTATATGTATATACACATAGATCACTTTATTTGTTATTTTGCTGTAAGTTGAACATTAGTAATTAATTGGCAGTAATTAGTTTGGTTATATGTGACATGTATATGGGTGGAATTTAAACAGATGAAGAGAAATGTAACTTAACTAAAAGACAAAATACGAAAGATAAAAGGAAAAGAAAAATCAATAAATGAAAACAAAAAATTTCACAAAGATTTCTTGATTACAAAATTATGTTTTGTTATATATTATTATATTATATTCATAAGCCTGGTTTAAAATTTGTTATGACACTCGCCCTTTTCTTGTATAAATTGATTTTATGACTTATCCATCGTATTTAAGGACAGTATTTCGTAGACAGATGCTTAAATTACTATTTTATTTACTTATCTCCCAGGTAAATTAACAAAATTATTGCTGATCAAAAAAGTGGCACAACTAATTCCAGGTCTTCTTACTATATTTTTGTTTAGAATAAACTGGATGTGAAAAAGAAAAATATTATGGAATTCTGATTTGGATGTTTCGCTTTTTTCGATTTAATACTTTGCCGAGTGAGAAGTTAGTGTTAGGAACTTCGATTCTTCTTATAAATATTTATGGGCTTCGTATTGTCTTTATAATACGATGAGATGTTTTTTTTTTAATCAATAATTTGAATAATATTATTTAATAACTAAATACAAGAAGTCAGGTAAATGATTTTCAATTAGATTCAAAATGAATGCATATTTTAATAATTTTACATTCAAATAGTAAGACAGATATTAAGAAAGAAACATTCACGCTAAAATTATTCATAAAAAAATTATGTGGATACAATAATTATCAAATAATAAAGATACTGTTGAGATATTTTGCACAATTTATGCCTTGTGTATGCAAAGGATACGAATACATTATCGTATATTTGGTTGAAGAAATACTTTAACTTCTACAATAAAAATAGGACATTATTAAGATTTTTTAATGAATCTATAATAGTTTATTATTTGATGGTGTGTAAGTTTCTTCAATATTAATGTTGCTGGTTTAAAGTAGTGATGATGGATACCCACAAAAATTAGAAAGTTACCTGAAATAATATTATAATTTTCTATAAAATGACAGATAAAAGATGTCCTATAAGGTTTGAAATTATTAAAAAAAATTACAAATGATTTTCTGATTTTTAGCATTTTTGGTACGAGCGTCACCTATGGGCGACATCCAGCGTGTCGACTTTTGTTCCAATATTTATCACCCTTGGTTAAGTTATTAAAAATTCTAATTTCTTGTTGTGGTTCTTAGTTTTTCAGACGCGTAGTTTTTAAATTTTAAATATATTTTTATTGATGGTTGGATAATTTCAAAATATTTTGTGTAACAAACACTTAGGCGGTCTGTTGGGTAGTACAGCAATATCACTCTTATGGAAAACTCCGCAATAGCAAAAGGGTTAATATAACATTATAGAAACAATCGATATTCATAGAGCTGAACAAATATTATGCTAAATTATAAATATATGTAACAAAAGTCAGAATAATATGTATACAATAAAATTTAATACGATTGTACGATTTTCGCTCAACCTTTCATATTTCCATTTATTAAAATAACACTGTATTCATTTATACATCGTGCCTGAAATCGACCTTTGCCATTTGACTTGGAGTTAATGACCAAAAAGAGCAAAAGTTCTCATAGTCCGATGACATATATGATACATTTGCAACAGATACATGCAAATCGAAAGGGAAATATGCAAGAGCGAAACTCAATATTTTGCGCCAGTGATGTTCATGAAGGATGATAAGTACGTGCTGTCGTGCTATATGAAAGGATATCTGATGACACATGCACGGATGCTTTACTCCAAAGGCATTCAAAATATGATGGATAATTATGATAGAGTATTCGAATATTATATTGCGAATACGCTTCATAATCAGCATATAGAGGAAAAGACCAGAAAGCACCCTAGTTCTGTACGAACGAAGTAAAATTAAGCAAAAGTGCGGATCAATTGATTTTGTACTAATACCTATTTATTAAAATATAAAATTTCTCTTATCACATAATGAAGTAACTTTTATGTGCTCAGTTTTGCCATAGAACTGTTACTTATTCCTAATAAAAAAATATAACGACCTATACAAGCAAGTGTGAATAAATTATTTTACTTAAAACATATATTTAGTTTTTAAAATATAATTTTTTTTATGATATAATTTTTTATATGTAAATAAAATCTATTCGCTTTTCATGCTCTTATTACTTACATTTATGGGGTTAAAACGTTAAAGTTATGGGGTAAAATATAAATTTTATTTGTGCATTTTTCACAGAAATAACACTGTATATAACCTTGATCTGGTATTTTGTCAGGAATATTTATCAGCAGAGTTGAAATAATAACTTCTATTTTGTAAAATTGCTTTTTTTAACTTAGTTTACTTTTTTATTTACTATTTTTTATTGCCGGGGTAAATGTTTAGTTGGTTCCTTTTACCCCACCCGACGTGTAATATATTAATAATATTAATTACGTATATTTAAAAATTATATCAAGGTCTCGTGAACAAAACAATGCTTACGACCAAAAAAAACTACTAACAAAAGAAAATACTTTTGTTATGGATTTTCAATCATCGCCGTTTATCACCTAATAGCGACGTTGCTTGATTTAAGGCGATGGCTGATTATACATCATTTTTCCTATACTTTCAAATATTGTTGTTTAAAAAATCATAATTTTACTTGCTTCTCAGATATCGGTGGTGGACCTTTTCACCCGCGGATCTTTTCAACCTCTATTTATTCTATATCTTTACCAATATGATTGGGAAGTCCTATAAGTGCGAATAGCTTGTTTTTACCAATTGTAGGTGTACTTCAAAAATTATTTTATTATAATTTTAGTTTTCACATATTTATTGAGAGAAATTTAAATGATATTGCTCATTATTTTCTTAAATTTCAATAAATAGAGTAAAATTAATTTATCTTCTTTTTTAATTTATCTATTTTTTTACTCTATGACGACTTATTTTAGTTTATTATCTCATTACATTTTACTTAAAATAATATTTCAAATTTGTTGTGCCTCAAGATACTACGAAACGTCGCAGACAGTCGGACAATAAAAAGAAAATCGATATTTGCTCAGAAATCTAAGTGAATGTATATTGACAACACTTTACTGATTTATTTATTTCCTTAATTTTAGATTACATTTAATAATATGAAATAGAACTCTCTCGAAATATTAATTTAAAGTTTCAAAACGAAATCCACAGGAATTTAACTGAAGCACGAGTAATGCTAATTATAACTCTGCAACTATTTTATTAGTATTTAAATATAATTTGCTATCGTTCTCTTTGAGGAACATGAAACAATAAGAAATGAATTCAACTTCGTAATTGTACTGCGCTCTTATCAATCTCAAAACGAACTTAATTTAAACGCATTTCTCTATGAATAGAATTTAAAGCTATAACAAGTGACTTCGGAATTAAATAAAATTGAACAAGTTTTATGTAGCTGTGTTTTATCATAAATGTTAAAACTATAAATAGATTATTCTATTATTTTATTTTTATTTCTCAGAAAACTATTTATGGAAGAACTGAAAAATTATAATTTCATTGGCCTTAATATTTATTTTTATTTTTATTCACAGCTTATAAGATCATACGATCTATGTAGGATAAATTGAAAATAGTAGTTTTTTGAAATCAACCTTTTACGGTTTTTAATAAAGAGAAGAATAAAAATTCTCCTATAAATGAATGCCACCAAAATATTATGCAAAGACTAAATTTTTACGATCGTGATGTTTTTTCTGCAAGGGTAAATATATGTAGAACAATGCAGCCCAAGTCAAAATGAAATAAATATTAATATTAATATTTAACAGTTATTAAACAAGTAAATGACATTATATATTAGACCATAACATCATCACCTAGGCTTATATATATATATATATATACATATATATATATATATATATATATATATATATATATATATATATGAAGCAAATACTCATACTCAGTATGTAAAATTTGTATTCACTGCCTTATTAAATAAAACTTTTGTGGCCAATATATTCTTACTCATACGGAACCTTGGATAAACCTTGCAGGTTGAAATAGTTTTTTAATTAATATATCTGATTATATTTTTGCAAAATAAAGATGGGCAGTTGCTGTAACTATTTCTCTACTAAACTAAGTATTTATCCTCAAGTATTGTTCATCATTTAACAATTAACAATTGTTTAGAAAAAGTCTTACAAGTTTAAAAAACGTCTACCAAGGCAAGTGGTAACGGAAAACGGACAATAATTTATTCCTTACTTACTTGAGAAGAAAATTGATTCGTTTCTAAGTAATTCTATTCATAAATCAACGCAAACTATAAATAATACAGATGAAAAATATAATGTTTTCTATAACATAATTTTGTATCATGAATCAACGTAAACTGTAATTATCATAATACAAATAAATGATACAGTGTCTCTTGTAACACAATTTGCATTTGCCCACATTTTACAAACTATGAATTCCACCCAATCATCTTTTGTATATAATTCTTGTAAGTTACAACTAGCTCCAAGGTTTTCTTTCAACTATCCCAAAATGT